TTTTGTTTACACATGTCCATAGGCTCTGACCTCTTTGAAATGCGCCAGCAATGCCTCTAGGGGTGAAATCTCGCATCAGTATCCAGCCTGGCAGCTCTCCTAGCTTCACATCCATGAGCTTCTTCTCTTTCACTGGTACTAAAAAGGAAGAGTAGAAAGACACACTGAAAAATCTCCAGTGAGACAAACAGCATCCTTCTATGTCACTTATTTCAACCATTCAATAAGATCACTACAGAGAGGCTGCACACAGGTAGTATTATGAGTAAATATATTATACCATATTCATTTTAAGTCAGAGTCTGTATAAAGCGACAGCTGTATTAATGAACAAGGTTCTGAAGAACAGTAACTATGTAAAAACAACCTATGGGCCATGAGGAAGAAAGTAAAGTGGAGGACCAAAAAACTGTTGCAAAACTAATATTTACATGTATCAGCTCACTGAATCTTCACAGCAGGTGGCTGATGCCTTTATTTTATAAGGGGTAGGGGAGACTGGCTCAGAGAAATTGGGTCAATTGGCCAAGGTCACACGGCATGCAGGGAGCTGAGGCAGTGCTCAACCTCAGGTCATCAAGACAATCCGATTTCTATTTCAAGAAACCAACCTGGGACCACAGATGTCAAATGACTTAATACAAACCACTCCAAATCATCCACTGGGCCCCAGAAAATATTCCAATGAGAGTCTGGGGACAGAGATGACAAGGGCTCCTGGTTGAGGCCATACTGTACTCATCTCAGCTTAAGAGTAAAATAGGAGGGGGACGGGGGAAGACCACAGTGGGGGAGAACCGGGAATGTTCAGATGCTCATAAGAAGGCAATGGTCCGGGGCGCCTGGGTGGCTCAATCGGTTAAGAGTCCGACTTCGGCTCAGGTCATGATCTCGATTCATGAGTTTGAGCTCCACGTCAGGCTCTGTGCTGACAGCTCAGAGCCTGGAGCCTGCCTCTGATTCTGTGTCTCCCTCTCTCTGTCCCTCCCCTACTCATGCTCTCTCTCTTTCTCAAAGAATAAATAAACATTAAAAAAAATTTTTTTTAAGTAAGGGAATGGTCTCCCTTTCCATCCTCCCCATAGAGATCAACTTTAAAAAGCTGCTGAGCAGGTATCCTCTTCAGGGTAAGGAGTCAAAGACTACTGTCCTTTCTTAAAGATGACCGACCAGCGAAGGAGCCAGATTAAATCACTCAAAGGTTTCTTCTCCATTTTGGGAATCCAAGGAAAGACTAAAGTTCCTTCAGGAGTCCACTAAGGGGAATCCCACAGATCTCAATATCTCCCAACATTTAACAAGGGCAAGGATTGTTGGGTCATAAACAGAAATACAAGGCTTAATGGCAGCTTCTAACTTGCTATAGGTCATCTGGAAAAGCAGACATTTGGCCCAGATGGACCAGATTGAGTGTTTGTCAATAAGCCACCGGTGACAAGTGGAGGCACAAGCCTATGACTTGCATACATAGCTTTAGGGTCATGGTTTAGACTGCCTGTCCCAAACAAACTGGCCCCAACCTTCCATCTAGACTCATCCAACAAATATGGAGCACCTACTGTAGGTCAGGCAGCATGCTATGCACTGTGGGTACAGCACTGACTGCAGACAAGAGCCTTGCTCTCAGAAGCCAACATTCTATCGCCAGACAACCATTTCATCCATTCACCATACTTCAGTCAGACCCCTTTCTGCTTATTCACCTGAGGGCTTTGGTATGTGCAGTGCTCCTAAGCCACCACATGGCTATCTCAACTTAAATGCTATGTCCTAAAAGGCCTCCTTCCCCCCTCCTTATCTCAAGCACTAGCACTACCCTCCCATATAACCTCCGAGCTCCAGTTTCCTTGTCTATTAAATGGCTATTCCAAGCACTGAATGAGAATCTATGTAAAAGCATTTGGGGTGCCTGGGTTGCTCAGTCAATTAAGCATCTGACTTCAGCTCAGGTCACAATCTCACAGTTCGTGAGTTCGAGTCCCACATTGGGTGAGCTCATGCCCCACTTCAGGTGAGTCTTACTTTCTCTCTCTCTGCCCCTTACTTGCACCCTCTCTCTCTCTTTAA